ACGTTGCACATCCTTCTTTTGGTGAATTTTTATATAATTTTTGAAGTAAGCTTCATTAAGCCTGATAATGAAAACGTTACTGTGATGGATGCTATTTAGGATATGCTTAAATATATATCACTTCATGTCTTCATTTGTAATTGGGGCTGGAATTTTTTCCCCACTCCCGATCCTGACAATCCCGATCCCGACAATCCCGATCCCGACTAGTCGGGACGGAACCGGGATTATTTTTCCCGATCCCGACTAATACGTACTAGTTTGAATTTGAGATGATAATAATTACAATAAATTTTATAAGTAGATGATGATACATATGGTATAATAATGACTAAAGAATAATGTTGAAACCACTAAATATCAAAGTTAGTGTTTAACTAAAGAAATTACATAATTTTATGCTTGATACTTCATTGTCGGGATTAAGCGGGAATCCCGATCGGGAACCCGACTTAATCGGGACGGGATATGGGATCCTCTTGTATTTTGAATCGGGATCGGGATTTTGGCAATCGGGATCGGGATCATCCCGATCCCACCCCTATTTGTAATCATAATTTCCATTTATTCCGATCGCACGTGCACCGATACGAGAACGCGATAACCGAAAATACGGAAATAGACACGGAGATACAGCAAAATAAAATGAGAAACAAGTCAAATAGATTAGTTAAAATAAATTCATGTATTTTCCTCTCGTCATTCATTCATTCAACTATTTCCACATTACGAAGATAGTTAAAAAATAAATTCGTATTCTTTATTCTATATATGTTCATGCATGATGCATCTTGAAATATAAAGGTAGTACTAATATCAAATGATAAACAAGTCAAACAACCAATATTACATGAACCCAAAGTTCATAAATAGAAATTGCTCCATGAAGATACAACACAATAATCTAATTAAAAGACTAAGAGCTCATTTGGTGACTCTGTTTTTTTGTTTATCGGGCTTATCAACCAACTTTTTAACCAAACACGTAACTTTTGATTTTGTGCACTGAATTATGTAATGATCAGGAAAAGTAAGGTTGAAGTTACTTTTGTAGCTGTATTGACAAGAGTTACTTTGGGTGATCATTTTAACTATTTTTTCATATTGACTGTATTTTTAATTATAATTTTTTCATAAATCAGCATAATCAACCAATAAAGTAACTTCAGCGAGAACTTCATAAATTTCAGCAGAATTAGCTGATTCAGCCAATTTCAGTTTTACCAAACGAGCTTTTAATTTCCAGAATTCAAGAATTCATTTGAATGTCTTCCCGTTTGAAGTTTTAGCTAACATTTGGTATGAGTAAACTAGACTTAATGAATAAGATGTTCAAAAAAATTCATCAAAAAATTCCTCCGGGAACCGCTCAAATGGCGACGGCCGGATAGAGACTCCTATATAAGGGCTTATTTGACCTTTTTTTGTTAGTATGTGAGATTATTTGTCCCTTTTCTCTATATTTTTTCATTTCGTAGATTATATATTAGTGTCATATGAAAGATCATAAAATTTCATGAATTTTGATATTTTTTGAAAAATTTAGAGAATAGATAAAAAGTTATAAGAAATTAAAACAATTTTGGGATAATAATTACATCTCCGTGATGTCATCATGACGTCAGCCGAACATCCACTAGTCATTTTCTTTTATTTTTCCTTCTTTTCCCGTCAACCCATCATCTGTTTTTACACCTCTATCCTCTTTCCCACTTTTAATCCCTTTTTGATCCTCCACTAGTCCACTACGCCAAATTAAGAGTAAAAAATATCCATCTTTAGGCGGTGTTTGGATCTGATTCTTAAAACTGCTTCTGCTCCTTCAGGGAGCGAAACAGAAGCTGAAGTGTTTGGGTGAAAGTGCAAAAGTGATTCTGGTACTCAAATTTACTCACAGAATCAATTTTTTTAGAAGTTGGGGGTGACCAGCTTCTGAAAACTAATTCTGATTCTGTTTTTGGTTTAAAAAAGAAGCAGAATCAAAATCAGTTCCAAACACCCCTTAATCTTTTGACTCGAGAATGCTACACCATTACAAATGGTTTAAGTAATCTTAGCCTCTACAAATGTTTTGCAGTCCAAAATTTCAAATCACGCGTATCATTACGAGGGAATGTCGGATAAGAGCTGAAAGTTTCTTATCAAATTTGTTCAAGAATGCATGAACGACACACTACAAATGGGAGAAATGAAGTCTTACCCCAAACCATTAATGAGAAAAGAGTATAGGAATTATTCTTCGTTTCCACGTGTGAATAGCTCCAAAAGCATTATGTGGAAGATCCAAAATATCATGAAAATGTGTCTTCTAAAAACATTAATGCTCTGCTATACCGATAGCTGATTTATTAACTTGGAACCGAATGAGTTTATTCTCCCGCCGGATGACTGCTTTTTCAAAATGTAGAAGAGTCCCTTTCTATAAGTTCAGAAGAGCCATGTCACTAGTTTACACTTTCACCTCCCTTATCTTGTCGATGTTTAAGCTTTTTAGATCAATTATTTTACACTTTAAAAGCCCTCATTTTAATCTTCTAAAAATCTATTAAAATGGATTTTAAGCTTGATGAAAACGGCACTTTAAAATAAGTTAAAAACAACCCACTAGTTAAGGGAGTACTAAACTTTAGAGTAATCACATTTTGTGTGCTGTTTTTATTCACCACTATTTCAACATAGTACCTCTTAGAGTAATCATGTTGGTCATGCAGCAAACATGTTGACCACAAGTGACTGAGCACTGAACTTCTTGATTAAACTGCTCAGCTATGTTCCATTTTATAGTAGTTTGCACCCAGGGCTGGCCCAGGGCAAGGCTGCCCAGTGCAACCGCACAGGGCCCAGAATTTTGAAGGGCCCAAAAAAAAAATTAGTACTGTATTATACCCAGCCCAAAATCATCTGCCTATCTTCAGTCTTCACCCTGCGCACAAAGCCCCAAATCCCAATCAACCTGTGCCCAAAATCCCCCTACTCCATTATTGTCGATCATCAACCCGCGCACAAAAAAGGCCGATTCAGAAATCAGAATAAGGATGATAATTCCACTTCGCCGCTATCCCGCTGCTCTAGAGTGAATCCCTTGACCTCGGTCCTCCGCGGCTCCGCTACCAACCCCAGCGCCAGCCGCCCAGCCATGCCGCCACTGCCCACTGCGCACTGCCCCACGCTGCAACGCCCCCACCCGCCACCGCAACCTGCATGCCCGCTTCCCTGAGTCCCTCAGTCCGGTCTGTCTACTGTCCATTGATTTTCAGCTTTGTGATTCATTTAGTTGCTAATTCTTGGAATATTTGAATTATTGAATTATTGTAATTTGTTTATTTTCTGATTTCATGTTTGTTGAATTGTTGCATTGTTGTTAATTGTTATTTCTTGATTTTTTGTAGTTAAAGTAAATCATTATTTGAATTGATAATAAATGTGTAAATAATGTGTTTGACCATTCAAATATATTATTAGGTAACTTCAGGTTGATAAATTGTAATTATACTAGTATAATTTTTAATGTTTTTCATTACCTTTATTAGTAACTTGTATTTTAAGACAATTTGCTAGTCTTGCAACTTGGAAAAAGGCCCAAATTTTATTCTTGCACAGGGTCTACATTTTCTCGGGACCGGCCCTGTTTGCACCTAGGGTCATCAAATGGTGGTTAACCCCTTGTGCACTGTAAGGTAGCAGCTTGTCACCGACTTGTTCCCTAAACAAGCTCAAGACGAAAAGTTCATGACAAGCTGCCCGGATAAGATGAAAAGTTGATGGCAATTGGCAAGCTGCCCAGTTTCCCATTTCATAAAAAGGTAACTAGATGTACAACTTATGATTACAAACAATTAAGCTAAACACATTTTAGAATGGTTTTACATTATGTTTACTTAACTTTTGTACAATTACGATGTAATCTTTATCTTCTAAAATTAAAGTAGAATTAGAAGATATATAAGATATTTTGACATGTAAGCAAAAACATGATGAAAAGAAGATGAAGGAGCTTGAGAGCATAAGGAAGGAGAATTGGACTATTGGAGACAAGAGGAAGCTTCATGGAGGACAAAGAAATGTGAAAAATCGGATATGATTTGACCCGGAGATCATAAGAGATCAAATAAAGCAAGTGAACATGGGAAAATCAGATTATGTCTTAGACCCAACCACCCCACTTCTCCTATAAAACACCCCTTTTCTTCCTATTTTAGAAACGAATTAATCCCCTCTTTCATATACACATTATTCTTGTACTTTAGGTAGTCTTTTGAGTTTGGTTTTGCTCTTGAAACTTGTTGATTATTAAAGTTGTGAGTTATTTTCTTAACTTCTTCCCTTGAATATTAATTCTTCCCTTAATCTATCTCTATATTAATGTTGGGGAGTGTTGCTAAGATGACAATTAGTTAACATCTCGACATTAATTACTACTAAAAACGATCAATGAACCGATGGTTAATCGTTGATGGTTTCACAAGTAACTTTGGTTTATTAATGCACAGTCGTGGTTAATAAACTTAAGAGAGATTAATTGTGTTGGTTAAACCGAAACCGTTGTGTTGAGAACTTGAGGTTATCAATCTCAATTGATTTCATCAAGGAATTAAGAAATTAATGTTACTATCAAGCCGGTATATGACGGTGTTCTATACTTGACTAATAGTAAGGGTTATTAATGAACGGTCGTTGTTAAAGACTACCCTCGATGAATTGGAGATACTACTTGATTGAGTATTCGAAAGGGGATTAGTTATAGATATAACAATGATCGACTAAAATATATCAACAAGTGGAAAGTAGCAAAACCAAGGTTGATTACCTTTGATATTTTATTTCCCTCATTTTAGTATTTTATTTTCTTTCTCAATTATCAAAATTTCCAATTCCCCCTTCCGTTTACTTTTATTGATTACGCTTACACATACGCAAAAAACATCTTTCCCTGTGGATACAAACTCTACTACGCTATACTATAGTATTAGCCCTTAGTAGTGAATTTAATTTGAGGCACACTACGACAAAGTGCTCGTCAACATTTTCATTTCATCTTCTTATATACATAGTACCTTGTTAGAAAATAAAAATCAAATGGAAGAATAAAGAAAGAGCTATGGGCATTGGGCCTTCGATCAGGATTTTAGGACGACTGGATGAGCATTTTGGTTTTCAACTTTTCATAGCCCTTTGTGGATTAACTTTATCCACAGACACAGTCAGACTCTAGGCTAGATCAAACTGGTTCCACTGTTCCAATAATCACAGACCCCACAGAGACCATAGCCCAACTGCCCCAACATCACAGATAATAGGATCTTTCACATACAATAGTTACATGATTCAGAGAAAGGTCCAAGAGATATAGAGTAGTATACCTTCCCCGGAAAATGCTACACTGATCTTGTTAGTCATTACTGTCCCATAAGGTCATTTATGCTTACAACAATATGGATGGGAAAAGCAATCAATGGCATGTAATAGCTTTCTCCTAGGACCAACAGCAAACGAGCCCATGTCTTTCAGCTTTTCCATTGTCAAACTCGCCAGCTGAAATTTACTAACGTTATTACCCCGAAAAATCTTTATAAAATGACCACCAAGTCCTAATGAAACCAACCAATTGGTCAGTCCACCAGCACTGCGGAGCCTTCTTTCGATATTAAGAGCCTTCATTCTTTTGTTCATCATTGAACCCCCATTGGCATTGATTAAATGTTGCTGAGTTACTTTTCTCACGAAGCTTGTTCTAAAACTAGAAACCTGTGGATATTTCGATCTCATCCTTAATTTTGATGGTTTCTGGAATTGCAAGGTGGGTTGAGGCTGTACACACATGTGTTTACTTGCCACTAGTATGGACTTCTCACATTCAACAACCGTTCGATTCTCTGTGTGGATTCCCACTGGAGTAGTATTTCGGGAATTGTTAGATTTTCTTGGTGGTTCCTGCAGAGGGCTTTCTTGACTATTAGCCGATATAGACTGCTCAGAGGCAGGAACCAGAATAGTGACTATCTGTTTCTTGACCATCACCCAACCATCTTCAGCTAGCTGCTCATGATCCAGAGCATCTTTCTCGTTTGAACGTGAATTTTCCATTAATTGAAAAACTGCCAAACATCAGAAATATAATAAGAACAAAAGGTTATAGAATAAGTAGGATAATACAAAACACAAGATGACAATGGTATTCAATATTCAAAGATCAAGGAGAAGCATTAAAGATTTAACTGTAAATGACCTTACGGATCAGTTTGGGAGTTAGTTTTTGGAGGGTTATGAGCATAAACCTTTTGAGGACTAAGTGTATTTCTCTTGATATACACTATGTATTTGATATTTTATGAAAGATGAAAGATGAAAGAATGACATAACTAACGATAAAACAACATTTTAATGACCATTTATTCGTTTTGGAATCATTATCAAATGACCTTCCCCCACTAGCCCTAAAAAAATCTCCATCCAAACAGACCCTTATAGTAATTACTAACTCTAAGTTTTTGAAAGGGTTTTACTACATCAAAACAATGGAAAGCCCAAGATAGGAATAGAACACTTCAACCCAGAAAGATATGTTGCACTTCTGACAGCTGGTGATTCACCAACACAAATACGGCTTATTTTTTTCCTTTTCTGTTTGGAAATGCTGTATAGATAGTACAATAATTGCCATAAATGGTCATGACAACATCTATGATATGCTTGCAAAATATCCTGTCATTAAATTCATATAACCTGACCATTATTCCTTTTTTAACCCATGTTTCACATCAGAGGCAAACCATGTGTAGCTACAGCAAGTTATAATAGCCGATCCTATTTGCAATATTAATACCATTGGTTGACACGGATCAACGTCCCATTGCTCGAATAGCTACCACTAAGCACAACATAAATCTAATCTGCTGATGAAATCGTATGGAAATATAATCATGAGGAACCTCTACCTAGAGTACAAAAGGAAGCGCCAATTGAAGAAACTGTCAGAAATATCTAATTTGAATGAAATTCATCAATTGAACCTTCCTAAAGTGGTACCGACGAGAGAGGTTAAATGCATCAGGACATGCCCGTCAACACTAGAATACGACGATACAGTTAATCCTAGCATAAGTTGCCACTTAAAACGGATTACCTGTGAATGAGCTGCCACCGTCGGCGAAATTGCGAGATCGAGAGGGGGGCCACCGGGAAAAAGGTTTGGTTTGAAATGGCGTTGATTTTGTGAAACGTAACCGAGCAGATGTGGACCAAAACGGTTTAAGCTTGGGCCTTCACAAAAATCGAATAGTATCTGATCAGTATACTTGTTTGAAGGCCTGCCATGAATTTTCCTAACTTCTTTGCTCTTGGGTCTTACTAGGGAAGTAGGGAAGACGATGGAGGCAGGGACCCCATTTCGGATTTTAAAATTTTAAAATAGGATTTCTTATATTTTTATTTACGAAATATGATATATTTGCGTCATAATTGAAAAGGATTGTCTTTAACGAGAATAAATACCGACATATTAATGCCTAATGCTGTAAATATTTTGACAGTAATGACGATAAATATGACATGTTACTCCTATTTTGGGAAAAAAACATAATAATTCTATTGTTTCGAGAATTTTTCCAAATATATTTTAGTAGTCCAATTGTTAGACCCCAGTTGATTGGTTGATGAACTGTTTTTGATGATGCCAAAAAGCTTTTGTTATCCCCCCTCTATTGTAGCATTATTATAAGAGTCTTTGTTATCCTCTGTAGTAGCATCTTGCAGTTATCTAGTACTAAGAAAATTATCTAGATGTGTCATGCTCCTTTTTATATAGTTAACAAATAAATATGACTGGAAAACCATAAAATACAATAAGGCAATATTGTATTGCCTTAAAAGAATATCGAATAAATCCAACCGGTTAAATTTATTTGTTACACACAATAAAAAGGAGCACAAATAAACTATCTATTTTAACTGGAAAACAAAATGCAATAAGGTAATTTTACCTTAATAGGAGTTGATATCCTACCAGTTAAATATTTAGCTTATCATGTTCGAAATACTAGATAAACCATACACTCAGAAGAAGAGTTCTTGATATTCTATTCACTACAACAAATAACAATGTAAAATCTATATAACAAAAAGAACACACTGGGATTCAAAATGAAATAAGGTAAAGTTGTCTTTATCTTAAAATTGGATATTTAAATCCAACCAGTAAAGTGTTATTTGATATATAGATAAATCAAAGTGAACAAGAATAGTGAACAACTAACTGGAACACAAAATGCAATAAGGTAATAACTTTTACCTTAATAGGATTTGTTATCCTACCAGTTAAGTTGTACACAATACCTGCTAAACTACACAAGTGCTTAAAAGTGACAAGAATTCCAATGTACAAACTATGTATCAGATTAAACATACTGGAACTATAAAATGCAATAAGGTAAAAATTATTTACCTTACATGGATATTTAGATCCAACCAGTATAGCTTTAATTTGGTACATAAGTTTAATCATGTCACTTAAAGAAAGAAAGTGATTAGTAAAATAAGTGACAAATTTTACTGTGAAATTTGTACCAAATAAATTGTACTGGAAAGAACAAAATGCAATAAGGTAATCTTATTACCTTAATAGGATATTTCAAAGATCCTACCAGTACAAAATTTATTTGATACAAAATATTCTAAGTCACACATTTTACTACTTCACTACTTAAGCAGGTTCACGCACTCAGCTTCACAAGTATAGTTGCAAGACAAATACACGCAGAATGCAAGAGCAGAGAAGACATCAGAATAGGTGAAAAGGGAAAGAGTTTCAGAATAGGCATGCAGCGATAAGAAGGCCTAAGGTATGGGTGTTATCTTCGTACAAAGCAAGTGGTCTTCAAAAGACAAATCCTTATCCTGCTCCAACACAAGAAGACGCAAGTACAAAACTTTGGACGTCTAAGATTAAATCCTCTTAACCAACGGAGGAGATTAATCTACTGGAGATGCCTATAAAAATAGGCAGAAGCATGAGATCAAAAGTAAGTCATTGAGTTCAAAGCAAGTGGTTCAGTCATTACACTACGCATATCCAGCAAAGGATAAAGTGCTTGAACACTCTGCTTTGACTCATGCTTCACTAAGCTCTTAGACTAGATCATTCATTGTAACATTTATAGAGCTTAGGTTTTAGTTGGCGGTTAGACACTACGTGAATCAATTCATGTTGTTGTAAACACTTAGGAGAACAGTTGTTCGGATCCTATAGTGTGGTTAGATAGATAGAGTACCTTTTGATCCCCACTGGATCAATTGAGAAAAGTCTAAGGACTGAGTAACTTTGAGTTGTGTTATACTCATCGTGAAAAACCTTCAATCTAGGCCAGAGTTGTCAAGGCTAGATTGGCACTAATTGTATTGGGCTGAATACTTTAGTGGAAATCCATCTGAAATAGGGTGGGACTGGATGTAGGAGGATTACACCACCTCTGAACCAGGATATATCGTGTGTTGATTTACTTTCATACATGCAGAGCACACACCAAACACATCTCACTAAAGGATTGTAGTTTGCCAGCAGCATCCTAAGCAGTAGTCTTCATCGACTGTACTGCTTAGCCTACTGCTTAATAACTCACTCTCCTTGAGAGTGTTTTCCACTAGAAGTTATCTTACACTCAGAAGGTGCCTCAGCAGTACCCTGGTCTTCACCCTCCTGCTGAGCTCACTGCCCATCCATATGTGTCTTTCCGAAAGCCATAACAAGCCAGAACAAAAAGCCATCCAAGAGTCATCCTGTTCTTAACAGTTGCCTCAGCAGTAACCTGCCCACCAGCCGACTGCCAACTCAGCAGTTGCCTGCCAGTCAGCAAACTGCCTGTGCAGCAGTAGACTAAGCACTTACCTGCTCACCAGTCTACTGCCAAGCCTACTTCCTCTTGTAACCAGTCTAAACATCATCTAAACTAGAAAGTTATCTCACACTAAGTATAAAGAGGTTAAAGACTTCCGCTGTGCATCTATTAATCTCTTAAAAGATTATAGATCAACTCATCTAGAGGGAAAACTTCATAAAGTTGAAAAAGATTTAAAAGTCTATTCACCCCCCCTCTAGACTTTTACCTCTATCCGGGACCATCACCAATATTTACTAAGATTGTTTAATAAAAGTGTGTTTTAAAATGGTTTAAAAATCTCAAGTATAATATTCATGGACTTACTCCTTACTACCACTCACACTCTCACCTTACCCCACTACCTCCTATCCCACCCTTATCCTGAATGGGGTTTCAGGCCCCAGAGTACGTAGTAGAAGGTGGGGACAGAGGTAGGGTGAGAGAGTGGGGGTTAGAGTGGAGTAGGGTATGGGTAGGCATGTTAGTGGGGTTAGGGGCAGTGGGAGGTTAAGGGTGGGGCAGGTGATGGAGGTAGATGGAGGGTGGGGTATGGGGTGGAAGAGAAGATGGTCTCGGGTGTGGGTGGGGTAGGGTGGATCGGGTGGGGGTCAAGTTGGTATTGGGGTGGGGTATAGGTGCTCTGAAGACTTTCATTATTATGGGATGTAAGGAAGTGTATATTTGTCAATATGAAAAGTTTAACATGTCACCTCCTAAAATACAAAATTGAGTGCTTACTAAACACTCATTTAACGGTGAAACTAATAGAGAATCAAATATTTCCTTAAGTGTTCGATACAATGACTTTATAAGAAATGTAAAGTGTTGTCAAATATGTAAGTCGTGTAATACAAAATGTAAATTACGTGTGCCAGATACAAAAGTGAGTTTATACAAAATTAAACTGCTAATGTCAAATACAAAAATCATATCATACTAAGGGGGTGTTTGGAGTGTTTGGGTGAAAGTGCAGAAGTGATTCTGATGCTCTAATTTAATCCTATAATCAGTTGTTTTAGAAGCTGGGGGAGATCAACTTCTAAAAACTGATTCTGATTCTTCTTCTACTTTACAAAGAAGCATAAGCAGAATCTGTTCCAAACACCCTAAATATAAATTTGAGAAAAGGGTCAAATGAGGCCTTCTACTATTATGAAATCGTCACATATGGTCATGTACTCAATAAAGTGTCAAATAAATACGTCTACTTATAAAAAACAATCGGATGAGTCCTAATGACCCATTGACAACCTCTTAATCCTGATTTCAGCCTACGTGTCAATTTTTTTGCTTGTAATTCAACCAATCTTAGGTACATATTCGACGTGTGCTGTATAATCTATTATAAAAAGTAGAGCCGTCTTTTAGGAGGTGCAATAGGTGCTCTGCACCAGGGCCCACGTTTATAGGGGGCCTCCAAATTTTTAGTATGTAGTATTAACTATAGCCTGTAGGTTGATTTTTTCTAGATATTGTGTATTATTTCAAATTCTAAAACATGTATAACTTTTAGTTTTTATAAATTGTTGGTACACATAGGAATGAATGACAAAATATTACAAATGTTGACACATAGGAATGGACCTGGTGCTTGTTTTGGAACCAAATATAAGCCAACTGGTTTTATTTCAAAACCGAATCGGTTTCTATGCTATGGTTGAAGCAAATTCAAAAATTGATTCGGGTTTCTCCAAAATAACACCACATCGGACCAATTATGTTGTTAAACAGGTTAAAAAGCCGGACCAAGCTAGACTATACAAAACGCATAACTGACCTTTCTCGGTCTGGATTGGGTCCTGCCCTACTGGCTACTAGATCGCGTCCATCTTTGCAAATTGGGTTTGCCCCTACTCCTTATGTATTATTCCTTATTACGAAGTATTATTTGTTGTCATGAGAGATTAAAGCATAGATTTTGAGAAAAACATAATACTCCCTTCGTCCCCTTTTGAATGTCCCGTTTTACCATATTGGAATGTCCTTATTTAATTGTCTCATACCTTATTTGGTAAAGTTTGTGTGGACATAACCGTACATTTTTTTTAGAACATTTTACCTTATTTAGAACATTATTTTTACATAACCGTACATTTTTTTTTGAAGCAGTTACATAATAATTACTTAATTAGTTTAACATTTTTGTAAAATTAATTAGTTTAACTAGAGCAGTGTACTTTCCAAATTCCCAATGGCGAGTACTTATGTACGTAGGGTTGTGCTCGGTTAGGACTTTTTTTACTCCTAAAACATTATGGAGTATATAAAACTTATATTTCATTGACTTTTTTATTTCATTGTTAAATTTGTTATATTTTATTGTTTTAGGGGGCCTCAATTTGCTATTTTGAACCGAGACCTCCAAATTCATTAGACGGCCCTGATAAAAAGATGGTTTCAAGAACACTAAAATCGGGATTAGGAGGTTGTAAATAGGTCGTTAGGACTTATTTGATTGTTTTTTACTAGTAGACACATTTATATGACACTTTATTGACTACATAGTCTTATGTTACGATTTCATA